AAAAAAAAAAAAAAAAAAAAAAAAAAAAAAACAAACTTTGCATATATAATCATATTTTGCGTATACGAATTGAATGGAAGCTAAAATTAATAACTCAGCACTGAAGTCTCTTGGTGAGTAAAAATCAAATTCTGTGCAGTAGAAACGCAATGAGAATTATGAGGAGAGCAAACATCTTTTTTTCGCGACTCACGAACAACTTTGGATGAGAAAATATTATGGTTTGTTCGAGATTTGTCTATGGTACATTGTAATATGCAGAATTGAGATCGCGCTTCGGCTGATTGATCCAACGTTGGCAATACCATACTGGGATTCGGTTATGGATAGCTATCTGCCGAATCCAAGGGATTCGATAATTTGGAGTCCGCTTTTCGCTGGTGAAACAGACAGCTTTGGACGAGTTGTTAACGGCCCGTATGCTGGATTTCGAACGTTGGAAGGTGGACCCGCAGTCACGAGGCATGCGTTTTGCATCGTTAATGCGGTTTTGTATCAATGTTTGGCTACCAAACATAGGACCTCTTCAAATACTGTCTGGACCATCTTGATACTTTTAATGCAGGTATATACCGACAGTGAGGTTTAAAGAGATCATGGCCTCCTTAATCTTGTAGTTTCCAACTGAAAGCTCTTACTCCACAAATAAGGGGTTGTGTGTGGAAGAGGCTGTAAAATCGTCAATCAGCACCGATTATTAAAGCTTACTTGCTTATCTTGTCAAATAGTTATTACAGTAAATGTTTTTGAAAAAAAAAAAGTATTAAACGCTTGGATGAGCTTGCAGGAGGTTAGGTTTCGAAGGCCGTTTGTTCACGGAAACTGACATCGGCAATGTTCTAAACCAACAGGACATTAGCAATGTGCTTGCATTTACTGCTCCGCAAGCTGGTAATTATTTTGCATTAAAAGAACTGCATTCGACTTCTATCATTTCGGCAGTGCTGTCAAAGTGTGTTCTTTCGTGGTAAAAATTTAAGAATGGAAGAGCGTGAAAAAATAATTAATTTGCCTTTGGAATATTAGATGTGCTCGATTCAAAAATTAAAAAATTAGGAAGAAAAATAACGAATATGAACTCTTCAAATGGCTGTGCTTTTTGTATGCTGTGCAGTAGGATGATATATTTTGTTAGCAGTAGTGATAATAATACAAATAGAAACTCAACACAATTCGTTTGACTGATCCAGCTTAAATTGTACTATGCATTCACATCTACATGTACAATTACAGGATAGGAAGCCGGGAGGCATGAAGGCTGATCCTGGACTATAAATCTTCCTCATAATATCAGCTAAAAAAACATTGACCTCAGATCTAAATTTGCTTCATGCTTATGATCTGCTATCTTTTTTTTGCAATTAAATTAGCCGAGCATTCGTGCAGCTGCAAACACATGCATGAGCTTGCTACAATGCATGTAAATTCTGCAGAAACGCGGGCTTTTCTAGTAAAAATTGGTGAGCAATGCAAAAATTCCACCTGAAGATCGAGTTGAATTTTCCAGGATGTCCTTTTCCCCCTAACTACGGGGCATTGGAATATTCGCATGGAAGTGTGCATCTGTGGATTGGTGGTGACATGAAGCCAGTAGTTCGATCTTCCAATGATCCGGTGTTTTTCCCGCATCATTCGTTCGTTGATTACATCTGGGAACTGTATCGCCAGAATCGACAGAACAGATGGGAACGAGAACAGGCACATTCCTGTTCATTTTAGCTGTAAATAAAGTTCTTGCTTATCGAATACAAAAACTGATTTTATCGCATAAACCAGTAAGTTTTCTAGATACTCGTTCTGGATTTCTTGCTAATTTAAAAGAGGCATAGAAATGAAGTGTCTAGCATTTCTGTAAAACGTGAAATTGCGAATTGCTCACTATGACTATTAGTCGCTCGAAATAAAATCAAAAAAGCCAAATAAAGAAACGAAGCGGCGTTAGAGAAAGAAGTAATGTTGCGTTAACGGAGCCATCGAAGAGTGTTGCTTGAACATTACCGACACCTGGATTTATTACTAGTAAGGACTTGCGTGACGATATCAAATCGGATTTTAGATTGCCAAAATCACAATGGTCGAGCTTTCCATGAGCAACACTTCCCATCCCAGGCCCACAGAACGTTCTTAACGCATTTCTCGCTCCACAGTATTACTATTGCGGAAGTTTCGCAAAAAGCCAGCGAAAAAAGCACTTGTATGCAAACGGACATGCGTGATGTTGTGGGCATATGTGGCATACGTTTGTACATGATGTTGCGCCAAAGAAATACTAACACTGTGTGTAGGTCAAAATAATTGACTTTGAAAGCTTTTATTCCGGCACACACAAGCTGCTGCAGCACACACATGAATCATTGTTTTTTTTTTTTTTTTTTTTGAATACGATAACATCAGCTTTTCTTAGCCTTAAAAATTTCTCCCTTTCTTTTTTATCTTTCTCTTTTTTCAGGCGTATCCACCAGAATTGCCGCAATGCGCAAATCCAATGCATTTTAAAAATTCGATGATGCTACCGTTCAGTAAGCGAAACGGCGATGGTTGGTTCCCATTTCAGATGTGATCGAATCAAAAATTTGAGTTTTAACGGCACAATTCGTTTTAAAATAATGAAATCAATTAGACATTGGCCCTAAGTCTACGACTAAGAAAAAAGAAAAAACAGGATAAATAACAGCAAGTGAATCGGAGGGTCGATATAGGTATCTTGTAACGGAATGCACGAACATACGCTGGAGTACCCCCTACTAATCGGTTGATCCATGAATGAGTAAAAAACCAGCTCACATTTCTGGATTAGTGGTTTCTTTTTTCTATAGTTCTAACCACAGCTGGTATTTGGGTGCACAATACTAAGGCAAACTTAGGCTGGAACGCACCGGACGGGCCCGTATGATCATACGTTTTTGCACCGGTCTTGAAGTACTCAGGTCATTAACTGCATGAATGTTTGTTGCTTTGCACCTTCCTTTTGCGGTCACTAGTATAAATCTCCATAAAATTTGCATAAAGTAAATGTACAGTTTCCATTTATCGGTCGTTCTAGCTGTTTATGAGAAATTTTTCCGCCAAAACTTTTAAGTGCCCGTACATAAGAACCATGCACACCTCAAGAGAGAATTTGAAATACTTAAGCTATACTTGGTCAGGGAACATTCCCCTAAAATTTCAGTTTTCTAGCTTTTCTGGTTCCCGAGTTAGTAATTTTCTCGCAGAAACTTCTGCACGCCCTTACGTGAGTTCCATGCATATCTGGGGGCTGAATTTGAAATATCTGAGTTGTACTTGGACAGGGAACATCCCCTAAAATTTCAGCCTCTCAGGTTTTCTGGTTACCGAGTCAGCAATTTTCTCGCCAAAACTTTTACGTGCCTTTACGTAATTACCACGCATACCTGTGGGCTGAATTTGAAATCTTTAGCCAGCACATGCACAGTAAATATCCCTGCAAAGTTTCAGCTCGTCACCGTGTCTAGTTCCTGAGATTGTTTTTCCGCCAAAAAATTTGCATCTTTTTTTAAAGCGTCTGCGCGCGGCATCCAAGCGTCCGCAGAAGTTATTAAGGCGGAAGGGTCGTGCATGATATGGGCACATGCTTCCAAATTTTCAGCTTTTTAGCTTTTTTGGTTCTCGAGTTGAAAGTGACTAGAAGTGCAAACAAACAGACAGACAGACACACACACACACACAGCCTCTTTCCAATATGCGTTTTTATGCGTTTTTGCATATATGTAAATTGCAAAAACGC